GGGCAGCCTGTGATGGGTGAGGCTGTCTCAGAGCGAGAATCTCCGCCTGAGCCTGCGCAATGGTGGCCTGTAAAGTGGCCACGCGCTGGGTGCGCGGGGTCGGAGGTGGAGGGGGCGGAGCGGGTCTCCCAGTGGGAGGAGGAATCCCAGCCTGGGCGGTACCCTGCTGTGGGGGTGGGGGGACAAAGGCGGGAAGAAGAGGGCGGAGCCGTATTGCTGCGACCGGTGCAGGAAGCTAGGAAGCAACACCGGTGTGGGTCGATGAAACTGCTGGGCCTCGAGGCGGTACCTGGACCGCAACACCTACGGCAGTAGTAGAGACAGTAGGGGCGGTCGTGGCTGGGAGAACTACCGCAACAGACGGGGTGGTCTGAGCGGCAGCAACACTCGCCACTGCTGTGGGGAAGTGTTGGGCCTGGCCCGTAGAGGAGGGGGAACCACGATGTCTCCGACTCTGGAGTCGTGGGGAGCCGGACTCGAGCCGGTAGGGGATGGGGTATGGGAGCGGTGGGGAGAGTGATGAAGAGAGCCCTTGAGGCGGTTGACGTCAAGGGCAAGCGCATTGATTTGCGCTTGCAACGGTCCAAGCGTATTAAGTTGCGCCTGAATCGCTACGAGGGTGGCATGAACGTCCATCATGTCCGCATGGGCCTGACCCTGACCCATTGGCTGAACGCTCACTTGGGAGGTGGACGGCGCTGCGGTGATCTCCTCAAAGGAACTCCCTTCCATGGTCGGAAGGGAAAGGGAGGTAGATCTCACGGGTGTGTGTGGGGAGAGGGGCCCGCCGATAAGAGGAAGGGGACTGCGGGAGCGGAGTGAGTATGCGTGAGTCGGCTCACCCCGAATTTTGCGGGTCGCGCGTGAGAAGAACGCGCCAAATCGCTCGAGGGGGGAGGAGCCGTTTGGGTCCAGGGAGCCCGACGGGAGGAGGCGGGAGAGTAGGGGGTTTAAATAAATAAATAAAATATAAAGAGAGAAGAGAGAGAATATTTATTTTTTTGGAATTTTCGGCAGCATTTTCCCACCCCGCATGGGGTCAAAAATGTGCCAAGAGGAAGGAAAGTGCAAGAGGAACACACTAACTTTCAAAATGCCGCAAATTAAAATTTTCAAAAAAATAAATAAGTAAATAAATAAATAAATAAGGAGGTGCAGGAGAGTGAAGAGAAGGTAAGTTTTGGAATTTTTCAAAAATTTCGGCAGCATTTCGTTGCCCCCATGGGGTCGAAGTGTGCCGTGAAGAAGAAAGAAAAATAAGAAGATTATGCCAGCACTTCGCTACCCCTAAGGGGTCGAAATGTGCTGAAAAAGACTAAGTATGAAGAAAACAGAAAATTTCGGCACCACTTCGTCATCCCCACGGGGTCAAAATGTGTACCGAAAGCAAGAATGGCTCCTAATCAGATTTTAGGGTGCCGCAGAAAATTTCGAATTTTCAAAATAAATAAAATAAATAAATAAAAAAATAAAAAAATAAGAAAAGAGGTAGGGAATAAGATGATTCAGGTTTTTGGAGGAAAAGAGAAAATTTAAATAAAAAAGAAAGAGAAAAGAAGAAAAAAAGGAAAAAAAAAATCGAAGTGGGGGGGGAGAGGATGAAAAAGTGATTAAAAAAAAAGAGAAAAATAGGTGGGAAAGAGAAAAGATTGAAGTGGTAGGTGAGGGAGATAATGGGGTTGTAGTTGGGGGAAGATAGGAGGAGAGGAGGGTAAATGAATGAGAGAGAAAGCTATGGAAAAGGTGAAGAAAAAAGTGAGAGATTAGTAAAAGAAGGTGAGTGGAGAGAGAGGAGAGAAAAAGATGGTGGGAGATGAGTGAAGAGGGAAGGGTATGAGAGATTAAGGGGAAGGAGAGGAGAGAAGTACGGAAAAGAAGCAAGGAGAGTGAGGTTGGGAGAGGAGAGAGTAAAAATATGGTAGTGGATGGAGAAAGAGTGAAGGGGATGAGAGGTTAGTGGGGAGAAGAGGAGAGAAATGAGAAAAGTGGAGAGAGGAGTGAGAAAAGGTGATGGATGAGTGGTGGTGAGAGAAAAAGAAGGTCAGATGATGAAGGGGAGAGAGGGAAAAGGGAGTGGGAGAGTGGATTAGGGATGAAAGAGGTGATACCCAGCTCTTCGGTAACCAAGAGCATACAACTTCACCAAGATCCACAAGATCTTGGCCTTTACACACCCCTTGGGAGAAGGGGTCTTCAAGGTGGTGATGAACTGCTGCTGCACATTATCTGGGGTTGACTGAGATCTTGATCAGCCACCCAGTTCCACTGTAGTGCAGCCCCCTAGCCAGGGGGGTCTTCAAAAAAAAAAATCCTCAGCAAACTGCCACATGGCACTTTTGGAGATGGCCACGGGTCGAGAGAGGAGATGTAGAGGGCAAAAACCCTTTTGCCAATAACTTTTCACTTGCTGGGTGAAATTTGGCAAAAGAGGTCTTGTTGGAAAGCTTTTTGAAAGCCGCTTCCAACGAGATAAGGCGCAGCATCAGCCACTGCCTAGAGTAATAGCGCTCGTTGAAAAAACGAGCGCGGGTGGTTTTTTGGAGCTTTTAAAAAAAATCGCGATCTTTGAAAGATCGTAGCTCCTCAACCACCACACAGAATTAGGCAATCTATAGCTTGTTGGAAGTGGCTCGTCGAGAGCTTTCCAACAAGCTAAAGATCAATAAATTTGGACCACCGGTGCAGAAGTTACAATCGAAAGAGTGCACCGGTATCATTACCAAAGAAAAATGGCGAGCAC